GTGGGCGCCAAATGGATCGGGTCCCCGAGGGAGGGTGGGACGACTCACGGGTGGGGAATTCGTGCCGGCGTCCGCCCTGCGGCGGCCCCTTTATTGATGGGCCGACTCCCTTGGCTTGGGACAGAATCCACAGAGACCCACGAGCGTAATTGGAAGGGAGTCGTCATCAGTGGAACCAGTGGGAGGAACCACGTCACTGTGGACTGTTGGTGGGAACTACATTAGGGACCCAATTGTAGAACTGTGTGGTCGGTGGGAACTGTGTTGCATAAGAACTCATCGGCAGGAATTGAATGGGTAATCTTAGAGGTGGGCACCGAATCAGTTTGGCCCATTTTTAGTCACGATTGGGTACATCTTTAGCTATTACTTAGTTGATAACTTTTTTTTTTTTTTTTTCTGATCCGGGTCTCCTCCTTGCCAACGTTTCAAATACGACAGTTTCAGTCACATTATAGTTAAAATTAAATGTATGACTGCCTGCTTAGCTTGCTTGTTTTTTTTTTTTTTTTTTTTAATAGGAAGTATGTGAAAGTTTTTTGGAAGACACCCTGAAGTACACATGCATACATACTTACATACCATTTGGATGTATGTAAAATGCAAAGAACAAATGTGTGTCAGAGCGATTCAGAGCACCAAGGAAAACAAATTCGAACCTAGGCCATAGATTGATTGACCCACTTTTTTTGTTGTTGTTTTGTTTTTTGAGACAGGGTTTTCCTGTGTTGCCCTAAAACTCGATTTATAGACCAGGTTGGTCTCAAACTCAGAGATCTGCTTGCTTCTGCCCCCAAGTGCTGGGATTAAAGGCGTGCGACACCACCACCACCACCACCACCACCACCACCACCTGGTAGACACAACCTATTTTATGGTACGCCTAGAAAAGGAGGATATTTAAGTGTTCCTTCAGTGCTAGGGGACAAGCTCACATGGATTGGGCCTGCCATAAGGTGAAGTTTACTGGTGTCTGCCCTCACTCCATTCCTCCTCCTCTTCCTTACCTCCCTTAACTGTCTTTATTGCTAGGAGGCTGAGGCAGGTGGATCTCTGAGTTCAAGGCCAGCCTGTTGTACAGATCCAGTATCAAGACAGCCAGGGCTACATAGAGAAACCCTGTCTCAAACAAACAAAAACCTAAGACTGGCCAGGAAATAATCCAAGATCTTTTATTGCTTACTTATTTTGGGGGCAGGGTCTTTCTGTGTCCTGACTGTCCTGGAACTCACTATGTAGACCAGACTGGCCTCAAAACTCAGAGAGATCTGCCTGCCTCTGCCTTCTAAATGCTGGAATTAATGGCATGCACCACTGTGCCCAGCTCCAGGATGATCTTGATGTCTTGTTGTAGCCATATCATCATTCCTCCTGCCTCAGCCCAGTGCTGAAATTATAGAACATAGTATATATATTGTTGTTTTGTGATAGGATCATGCTGCTATGTAGATTTGGCTGACGTGAAACTTGGAGCAATCCTGCATCAGCCTCCTGAGTGCTGGGATTATAGGTGTGTACCACCATGTCCTATTTAATGCAATATTTTTTTAGATGGAATTTTTAAGTACTTTATTTGTTTATTTTTATGTGCATTGGCATTTTGCTTGCATTCAGGTGAGCTGCCATGTGGGTGCTGGGTCCTCTGGGAGTAGCCAGTGAAGGGCTGGGAGTAGCCAGCCCTTCAATGCTATTTTTTTTTTTTTTTTTTTTTTTTTTTATTCTTTTGGTTTTTTGAGACAGGGTTTCTATGGCTTTGGAGGCTATCCTTCCTGGAACTAGCTCTTGTAGACCAGGTTGGTCTCGAACTCACAGAGATCCACCTGCCTCTGCCTCCCGAGTGCTGGGATTAAAGGCATGCACCACCAACGCCCGGCAATTTTTTTTTTTAAGTGAAATTTAAAGCCTAATGATAGTGGCACACGCCTTAACTCCCAGCTCTTGGGAAGCAGAGGCAGATGGATCTCTGTGAGTTCAAGGCCAGCCTGGTCTACAGAGCGAGTTCTAGGATTGCCAAGGCTACATAGAAAGACCCTGTCTTAAAACAAGAAACAAACAAACAACCAGGGGGGTCAGGGGGAAGAAAAGAAAAAGAAAAAAGAAAGAAATTTAAAGAGTTGAGGCTTTCTGGGCATTGGTGGCTCACGCCTTTAAACCCAGCACTCGGGAGGCAGAGGCAGGTGGATCTCTGTGAGTTTGAGACCAGCCTGGTCTACAAGAGCTAGTTCCAGGACAGCCTCCAAAGCCACAGAGAAACCCTGTCTCGAAAAACCAAAAAAAAAAAAAAAAAAGTCTTTGCTTACTCTCAACCACTACATTACTGAAAAACTTGGTTTCAGAAATAGGAAGTCTGCCCATGTACATGGATTCCTTGTAGCTTTTCTTCCTGAGAAGGTTGTCTCTACAGATCTAGATTGGCCTAACCTGATGATAAATGATAAATGATGTTTTGAATTATTTTTCTCAGTGTTGGAGATGGAACTTATGGCTTCCTGCAGGGCTTCACAAGTACTCTGACACTGAATTTTGAATCAAGAAAGAGAAGTGCTGCCTCATCCATTGTTTCTAGTTATCAATATCCTTAGTATCCTGTGCTTAGGTCTATTCTGTTGGGGCTGGGGAAAAGGCTCAGTGGGTAAAAATGCTTGTTTTGCAAGTGTGAGAACATATGTTCAAATCCCCAGAACTAACACAAATGCTGGACATACAGCAGGAGTGTCTGTAATCCTATTACAGGGAAATGGGAAATGGAGACCCCTGAGAAGAACTCTGAGAAACTCACATGCTGGCCTAGCATATGAAGCTGTGAAAACAAAGAGATCCTGTTCTGAAACAAAATGGAAGTTGAGGGCCAACACGTCTGACCTGTGCACAAGCAATGTGGCACACTGCTTTCATGCTCTGCTCTCCCCAACACCAAAGCAAGATATATGCTACATATGTGTCCAGTGTGTTCTCTGTAGGAAAATCACTGTGTTTCCTTGTGGATTTGGCTCTGAATGATTTTCCTTCTTATTCTAACTCAGCCAAATGTACATCTGGGCAGCTGAACTGTGGCAGGGCACATTCTTACCAGCCTGTGATTATTTTGGAAAGTGGTCCCTAGTTTCTTCTTTTTCTTTGTGATTGTTTCCTTGCCACAGTCATTGCTTTTAGTCAGCCTATATTTCCTAGTTCCTTGGATGTTTGGGTCAAGGGTAGTACAGGGACTGGATGCTGGTGTTTGGCAGCCCAGAAATCCTAACCTTTACTTCCCTTTGGCCCTTGGGAATCCTCTGAAGATCAGGTCCTGCCCAGAACCAAAATCATTGATTGTTATGTTTTCAGGGAGGAAATAAACTAGGGGAATCTGAAAACTTGCATTCTTCTCCCCAGCAGAAATTCATAAAGAGCCTTCAAGTGCTGAGGCTTGGAGCCAGGTGTGGTGGTGCTCATCAGTAATTCTAGCACTCAAAAGGGTGAGGCAGGAGGATCATAGGTTTGAGGCTAATTTGGGTAACATAACAAATCCTGTCTTTTAAAAAAGTGCTGGTGATATAAGGGCTGGATATATAATTTAACAAAGAATTTATGCTCTCTAAGGGGATGTGTTGTGACTGGCTGTTTGGTTAGTTGGTTATATTACCAAAGGCTTAATTGTAGAGGGTGGAATCTGAGAACTGCTTCTGTCCTTGGACATACTTGCTGCTTGGTGAGTGCTAGTCATTAACAGTTATTATGCTGAAAATTAAGTTCTGATCCAGGCATGGCATGATAGCTCTCTCTCTCTCTCTCTCTCTCTCTCTCTCTCACACACACACACACACACACACACACACACGTATATATGTATTTATTTTTTATTAGTTCAAATTAGGAACAAGCTTGCTTCACATTCCAATCCCTTCTCTCTCTCCCCTCCCCCCAGTCCCCTACCAGGCCCCTACCCCATCCCCCCCTCAGCTCCCCAGGGAGGTTAGGGTGCTCCATGGGGGCTCCCCAAAGTCCACCACATCATCCTGGGCCCTCCCCATGAGTCTGGGCCGAGAAAGCATCCCTTCATGTGGGATGGGCTCTCAAAGTCCCTTCTTACACCAGGGAAAAATACTGATCCACTATCAGGGGCCCCATAGAGTGCCCACGCCTCCTCATTGACATCCACATTGACATCATTACTTGCTGGACTCCCAGACAGCAGTCTGGGGTCCATGTGCTTCCCCTTGTTCAGGTTAGCTGTTTCTGTGGGTTTCACCAGCCTGGTCCTGACCCCTTTGATCTTCATTCCTCCCTCTCTGCAACTGGGTTCCAGAGTTCAATTCAGTGTACAGCTGTGGGTGTCTGCTTCTCCTTCCATCAGCCACTGGATGAGGGCTCTTCATGCTGTCATTTAACTCAGGAGATCCTGCCCCTTCCCATTCTCTGGGGTCCATGCATTTTTCTCGTAGAGTCTTTCATGATTCCTAGTTCCAGCCCACACACTTTTAATCCCTGATTTGGAGAGGCAGCGACAGGCAGATCTCTGAGAGTTCAAGGCCAGCTTGGTCTGCATAGTGAGTTCCACCCAGCTCAGGAAGGACTAAATTGTGAGGACTAAATTGTCTTAAAAAGAGAGAGAAGATTCTGAGGCCAGGGATCA